GTAACTCCTGCCTATTCTGCTGGTAAGCAATGTTGAGAAGGGTTGCTATCAGTCTTTTTCATTTGAAACTGTTCCAGTCATTAAAAGAAAAAAAATCTTAGGATTAACAAAACAGTGTGAACCTCTAGTCTGGTGCTCTTAACAGCCGCCTCAGAGAAAAAAATCTACACTCCGATTCACTCTGCTTCTGATTCAGACAAGGATTTGAGCCGAGATCCTCTAATGCCGTGAAGGATACCCTCACTGCCAGCATAGAGAATTGGTGATTTTTTCAAGTCCTGAAACAAAGCAGAGCATCACAGGATTACCCTCCTCGAAATAGGCTTCCTAGTGGTAGGATTATGATTTCAGACAAATTCCAGGGTTTCATTACCTGGAGAGGGCATATCATGCCACATGGATGTCTTAGCAACATGACTACTAAGCAAGAAATATGAGCACTGCTTTAATTGTTTTTTCTTTCCTGTGGCTGAAACTGCTTGCATGTTTTCTGAATTCACTGATAATTCATAAAAAATGCGATAGAGCATTTTAATGAATAAATGATTTATTGAAAAAGCCTAGCTTCACTGAGAGCTGCTGATTCCACATGTAACTTTCATTGCCCCAGCCCCTAATGAGGAAACAGCTTTTGTTCGTGGAAGATGCAATTCCAGTATCTTCACTAATTTTCCTACAACAAAACGGGGCAGGAAAGGGAAGCCTTGGAAAAGAGATTTCCAGATATAGGCTCTCTACACGACAGCATCAGCCGGGGTCTGCGCACACGCGCAGGAGGAGGTGTGAGTGCTGCGGGCGCGGTGTTCTGCTGCAGTACTTGCGGCAGTCGGGACGACGCTTCGCCTAGAGAAACCCAGACGCAGCTGAACTGCCAGGAAACAGAGGAAATCGAAAGAGCCATTAGCGTAACATGCGTAAACACGCTTAAGCTAAAAAACTCTGAAGAAAAAAAAACCAAGTCAAGCTCATAGGCAGATAGGTTGGTCAAATGCATATGCTACGGAAACCAAGACAAAAACAGAAGAATACCCAGGCTGTTGGCCACAGTGCAGGGAATTAAGAAACAACTGTATTGGAAAGGTTTCAAATGAATTACAGTATAGATTTGTTTGAACTGACATTGGCAGAGCCAGCATAGGACTCAGAAACAATATTACCTCTACTAATGGGGAAGAAGGCAAATTAGTTAAGGCAGAACATGATACAGATGATGCATATTGCTTCATACGCTTGACCTGAAGTGATTAGTACTACCCCTGAGCATCATTACACAGAGGGTGTGGTGCCTTGTAGAGCTACTCTTTATGTTTAAATGTGTAAGCAATTCTGCGGAAAAAAATGCAATTATGCAGGAGACTTTCAGTCAAGAGGGAGGTGTTTACTTGCTGACTTCAACAATACCAAAGATTCTCTGCCACATATGGAAGAAATGGGATATTATCTGTTCAATAACCAACACAGCAGTTTAGGTGTTACAGTAATCCTATTCCAGATAGGTAACAAAGATAGATGCAAAATAATATCAGCAAATATTTTGTCTAGGCGGGAAAAATGACAGCGAGTATTTTTGGCAATCATTGAAAACCATTTGGGTGCAGCAAGGGTGAATGAAAATCTCTTCAGTGACACAGGATATGTGTTGGAGTTAGTAATTACAAACATGCAAATGGGCTTTCTAGTTGTCTTCCAAATTGTTACCTCTTAGTATTTGTGTTTCTTCCTTCAAGTGTCATCCAAGCTGCTGTGGTCACTGGTGTCTCTGCAGACAATTGTTGCAGTAGTGTTTTTCATTAAAAATCTTGAAGGAAGGGGGAGCAAACTGGAATATTGAGAAAGAAACAGGAAATGCCAGAGAAGAGTATGGAACAGGGAGGTCCATGCATATGGCTGAATTTTTAACCATGCTGGCAGCACCTATAAAGGACTTTTCTTCCTGCAGAGCCAGCTGGGATATAAAACCACACCGTCTTTTGGTAGATCCAGCCTCCAATCAAGCTGGCAGACATGTCAGAAATGTCTGGGTATTTCTCAGTTCTTGGGCCTCTCACTTTGCTTTAATGCTTTTATTTAGAGAGCAACTGTCTGTACCCTGGGTTGACGTGATAGCACATCTGTGTTAACGACCATAATTTCAAAATTAACTCATATGTAATACTCCTTTCTGGCAAAGCACTAGGTGTTTGTGGTTTTGTTAGCAATTGACCACGACTGCAGTGTGCTTAAGGTGACCTGCTTTGTTCTCAACTTCTCACGCTTGTAAAAGTTTTTGTTTCTGTACACAATATGCCGTTCAAAACTGCTTGCGATGGGCTCTAAAAATTAAGTGAAACAAACGTCAGCTTTGTGAAGGCAGCTGTGGGTTCAGACGGGACAGCTGAGAGGTCTGTTCCTCCCTCCGTGCAGCGGAAGAGACTGAACTGGGAAATAACAGTGGGGAGTCTTAGACCAATCTTGGATTAGGAAGAATTAACAACAGACTTTCAAGCACAGTGAAGTTTTTACATTGTTTTAGGGACCCTCTTCTTAAGGAAAAGGACATTGTGTTTTACATTTTCCTTTTTAGTCTTTTGGCATAACGAATGGATTGAATGAGGTGTGGCTGAAAGCCTACATTGTTCAGTTCCACGCAGTAATGCAGTTTAGCCCTGCTCTTCTAATCTGAGGGGAGATTTCGCCAACTTTCCCAGAATGTTTAAGAACATTAAGGCTGTTGCAAATAGAGACATGCATGCAGTAAAGCAGCTCAAACCCCAACCGGAGTTCATGTATCTTGTGAAGGCCACTGCAGTAACAGAACTATTTTTCATTCTGCTTCATACTGCTGGTTCTGGGAGAGGGAATCAAGATGGGACAAATTAACCTAAATGAGAATACTTAGGATGTTCTCTTTATTAAACAGTTCCCAGATGTGGAGTCAGAGGGTTGCATCAAAGGTGTAGAACACAGAGCACTTGGCAGCAGCAGCTCTTCACATCAATAAAAGTTTGTCCAAGGATGTACCATGACTTTTTGTCTTCGCTTAGGTTAACTGGGATTTGACAGGGACAAATCCTGAGCATCAATCTGCAAGGACTGTTCCATAAGGTAGTACTGACCTTTGAATTTATAAGTCTTTCCACCCTACAGGGGATTGGAAAAATCCATTATTATCATGCCAGCTGGTGGAAAATAACTGTTAAAATCAATTTAATCAGAATATGTGTCCCTGATTTCATCACATAATGCCCCTATCAAGAAAACTGAGTATCTTGGTGCTCCAGTGTCCCTGTACAATCTTACATATCATCACTTCGCATATAAAAGCTTGACACCTCTTTGGAGAAGGGTTAGTCTTTTCTGTTTTAACATATGTATAATGCCTAAAAGCATCATAACTTTTGGATGGGACTTCAAAATGCTTTACTGTACAGTCAGTTAGAACTGTAAATAATGTTTATAATATGCATATACACCTGTGAATATTCACTTTGGAGTAAGCACATTCGCTCTTTGTTTAAACTAGAAATTAATTTCCAAGTACAAGGGCATAATTATTGTTATAATTTAATTAGTAATATTGACACTTTTTTTCCCCCCCCAAAAATAAATTATTGTTATTATTGAGTAAAGAACATAGGTAAACATGCATACATATTGTAGAGACTTTTTAAATCTGTATTTTTTCATATAGGATGAACACAGAGGTACAGAAAATATTTTGCTAGAAGGGCAGGAGTTTCTCAGCAATCACATAAAAAGAACTGCAAAAATAAATATTTTTGTGATAGGATTTCTGAATGGGTGATTTTTACGCTGGGTTTCTATACCAGGTTATTTCCACAAGTGCACTGGAGCAGAACAAGACCTGATTTTCAGATAAAAAGAGATTGAATGTTAGAAATTGCAGTTCTCAACCCTTTTAAAAATCTACTTTTAAAAAAATGCTTCATCTTCAAAGAAAAATTGTACCACATGCATAGTCTTCAAAAGCTTGTTACTGAGGCCAGTCTTAAAATGTTAAAAATAGATGCAAACTATCAAAGAGCAACTAACTCCTTCCATCTACAAATACAAGAAGACTAAAATAATATGATTGATGGATAGTCTGTTGTGCTGGCTATCAGAAATAGAAATGTCATACTCTCCCAGTTAATAGTTGAGTCTAATATTCAAGTTGTGTATTGAAATCCCAATATTATCTTACAAAAATGGAAAAAACCCACAATCAGGTTTCATAAAAAGATGCCCACTGATATCGCCCTTGTCAGTGAGTTGTGAATGTGCTGTATTCTAAATACCCGACTTCTCTAAAATCTGGTGCATATATATGAGTCGGCAGATAACTACACACTGCTCTGAGTTGATTGTATTTACCTAAACTGATGTAAATGCTGTGTAAATATTTGGCTAGTTCAGTAAATAATTGGCAGGGGATGTATCTCTTAATTTCTTAATTTTCTCTTTATCACCACTATATTAACTAGCCATTCCAATTTTTGTGAGGTACCTAGTCTGTGAAATATGTAATAATTACCATTCTTGGTTTTATCTCTATGGAAACAAACTAAACCAAATATTCAATGACGACCCCAAAGCTACAGAAAGAGATGGTGTCAGAACTGGAACTGGAATACAGAAGAATGAAACAGCACAAAATAGACACTTTGATAGGCCAAGATTTCATCTCATGTTCCTTTGTCCCTGGATTTGAGTTGGATCAGTGTATTCCAATTCTGAAATCAAACACTGAATGAATCCATAGAACAACATATATTTAGTATACTGCTTTGGTCTCTGAACCTCATATACTTCGTGCCTTAAAAGCATCAGTGTCCAAAGGATGATAGCAATTTATGAATCATTTACATGTTAAGTGGTTGTTCACCATTAGTCACTATCTTGAAAAAGACAGCGGCAGTTCCAATAACTAGTAGTAACGCAACTCACAATTTTCTAGCGTCATATTTAGCCAAGTGTACCCAAATTCTTTGTGTTAGTTACTATGTAACAAAACATGAAAATATAATTTGTCTGTAGCAATGAAGTTAATGGGATAGGCATTGAAAGAAAAGACCGAGAAGAAAGAGAGGCAGAGTAGACAAGAATTTGCTTTGGAATATTTGGGTTCTTACACAGACGATTTTCAACACATTCTCATTAGGAATTCTTAGGTAAATGTTAAGCATGTGTTTCATGTCCATCCAAAATCTCTTCTGAAGGAAGAACAATCTTTTCAGCCATAGAAAAGATGTAAGCAAGGAAAAAATTAAAGTCAAAATAAAGCTGTTACTTCTTGATTTATGAGTTAGAACAAGTTTCATTCCAGCAAAACTTGTATCTTAGCACTCTCACAACACAAGAGTGACACTGCAATATCTTTATATGACAACAGCTTGAAGTAGTCGGAAACATATCATGATGTCCAAAGGTATTGGAGGTTGAATTTCATTTCCATCCAGGCGAAGGTATCGGAGGCGAGGGATGTTGCCATAAAAACCATAGTCTTCTGCTATGGCAATTGAGACTGGGCATATCTGAGTACCATTGACACCTGAAAATGTAGATCAACATGTTAGGTCATTTCCACCAGAAAGGTTCATGAAGATAAAATTCATATAGAAAACAAATAAATCAGGCTTCTACTGATATGGGAGACACTTGCTCTTATCAGAGTTGGAAATGTCAAATTAATAATTAACCGCTTTTTTGATCAAACCGAAAGACATCTTAACATAATGTAATCTAGATCAGCAAATCACATATTTAAAGTGCTGCAATTAATAAACAAAGTCACTAGATGCATAATTTTACCTTGGACAGAGAGTAAACTAATGACAACTACTGGGTAACTATTCATTGAGAAATAGCTCTCTGCCCTCAGAGCGAGCAGAACAAGGTTAATGCTAAGGGATTTTGAACAACTTCCTGCAATAACAGTACATTAATTTTAGCTGATAATACTCCCCAATGAAGATTTTGCATTCAAAATGATAAAAGTATTGAATCAGAAAAGCTTTTCATATAGTGTCTGTAACTTTTAACATCTGTACTTTCCTGTTCTCTCAAATTCTTCAGTACAGTTGTTTTTAATTGCAAGAATATAACTTGTGCAATGGGATATTTTTCTTCCTAATCTGAAAGCCAACAAGTTCTTAACATTCTTTATAAACCACACATAGCTTGTTTCAGTTCAGATAAAATTTGAAGCTATGGCTTAAATCATTACCCATTTTCATAATGATTGAATAGATTGGGTTCTTTACATTGTCTCCCTTAAGTTATATCTGGACTCTCACTTGGCTAAAATGCTTCTCATATTTCATCTTCAACTGTTGAATAACGAGGCTGCCGCTGCCCTATTTCAGCCTCAAAATGGCCTTATTCTAGAAAACATTGCAGTGGTGATTTTTATCAAAGATGTCAAATTCCTTTTACCAAAATATGGTATTTAGTGATTGGTCTGACTGCTTGAGGATCTTGTTGGCCCCAGACCTGCAAAAAGTGGTTGAGTGGAGAATGTGTGTGTAATAGATTTTTTTTAAGCATAGGTATTTTAGCAGCCCAGAAATAGGAAAAGAAAAGCTTTCTGCCGAAATTTTTCTCCCCTTATATTTAGTAATAATAATATGCACACATCTTTTGATTACAATCCCCAAACTGGTTAAATGTTATGATGAAACCACCCCCCCTTTTTTCCCCCAAAAGAAAAAAAAAAACCCTATTTTGAAAAACTGCCCAGATGTTTGCAACATCTTGGAAATAGACTTTGTCATGGAAACTGGACAAATACATCCAGTTGGCCAGGGCCTAAAACTTCTGTCATATCCATTATATTAAAATGTCTTTGCCTATGTTGTGAAATTTGATTAATGTTTGTAAAGCATTTGATATTCTTGGAAGAAACAAGCTACAACTTATTTTTATGTGTGAAGCTACGAAGCAGGAAGCTTGACAGTGAGGTTTCATTATGAAAGCAGTTATTAAAAGTTTTACAAGTGAATCAACACTATGTCACAGAAACTATTTGCCTTTTCAAGTCAACACTACTGTCCTTAGGAGACAAGATGGCTTTTAAGTGTGTTCTAATTCTCTGTGTTCTCTGACCTAGAAACTCTCCCACTGCACTAATTTTCACTGGGTTAATTACTCCAACCTTGAAATGAGGCAGCAGTTATCTAACCACAGGCCACCTATGAAGAAGTTATTTCCTGATGATGTGTGGTATGAAGAGGTTTGGTTTTTCATTGTTCTCTTCCCGTGAAGGGTAAATCCTACCCAAACTATCAGAGGAGTAAAAGCCTCTCTCTCTCTTCTTCTCTTGCAATCTTGTTCATGGGTATATTGCTGAATTTTGCTTAAGCAGGAGGGACAGGGCAATCCATCTACACGGCTACAATTCATCCTACCTAAACTGATTCATGTAGGGGGTACGTGTCAGTCCAAGTAAATCATTTCAACTCTGTTCGTAAATTCTGGAGAGAGATGAACACTTCCAAAAGGTGATTCACAGTTGCTTAAGATGGGATGATTTTCCCTCTGCAATTGTGTATCTCTTTCCATTAATTGAGTAGGTGGTCTGTATGACTAAGCCAAACCAGATACAAAAATCTAGCATGGTTAATGCAAATAAGATGAATTCCACCTATTGTCAACAGTATTGTTAAGTGGTGTGATATGAGATATATGATACGGTGTAATGAGACTTTGGAGTGGCTGTAGGGGAAAAATGCAGAAGAGGTTGTCATTAATGGCTAATATAGTATGCCTGTTGAAGAACCACAGAAGATCCTGTTTTTTTTCCAGTAACACTCATAATTTAGAAACATTCAGAAAGTAAGTTGATCTAGAAGACAGATGTGTTCTGACATATATGAGTGTGAGGGTACTCCTGTTCTATTCTTGTAACCTCTAACTGTATTCACTATAGTCCAGCTCGAATAGTTGGACTCCCTATCTCCTTCTCACACAAGATTTAACTGCTGCAGCTGTGAATCAGTCTGGAAAGCTGTACTTTTCTGGGCTCTTCCAGCAAAGAAACCGGTACCAGCAATAGCACTGGGTTCTGACAATAAGTCAGGATCTGTAACTTCAACCATTTCTTTCCAAATATCCTATAATGGATTCTGATAGACTGGCTTTGCTACTTGGCCCAAGGATTTCTCCATTTCTCTACACATGGGATAATATTAGCACAGAGGAGCTGTCTCAATCTCCTGGTGTTCCTCTCGGGCAACTTTCACTCTCTTTTATGGCTCCTTTGATAGCACTGTAATACCACCTGCTTGCCCTCGCTCACTCACTACATTATTGTTTCATGCCTTCTCCTTTTACTTCCTCTAACACTCCCTTTTCCATCATTTGACATCTCTCCAGAGCCTTGCATGTGTATCTCATGAATAAATATGTAAACATGTGTGTTTTAATATGCCATGGAACAAGTCTGGTGTGTATCAGTTGTAGCCATAATTAGCTTTATGTTTATTTTGCTTCCAACTTTCAAGTACTTTTTCTCCTCTGTGCACTGAGATCCTTGGGGAAGGGGCCACAGGTGAAATCCTGGTTCCACTGAGACCAATAATGAGGCTATCATTGACTTCACTGGGCTTCAGGATATTGCCTTGTATCTTCATAAGTGGTCTCTGGAGAAATAAGGCCTTGGACTTATGTGAAAAACTGATGTTATACAATAACATACCATAAAAAGTAGGCAAATAGTATTTGCATAGAAATTTTAATGACTGAGCTCTTGCAATGCCAGCAGTGTAACCATGAACCAACAAGAGAAACTAAAGCAGAAATTGGCAGGTGTGCCGGGGTATCTGAGAATTAATATTACAAAAAGGGTTTGTACTGCACAAGTAAAAGTAAACTTTCAGGACTATTCTTTTGTGGAGAAACCACATCCAGGCTTTTACAGTTATTCTTCTTTCAAATCTTTTACTTTGGTTATCTTAAAATAATGACTAGTCATCAACTTCCTGGGTTTAAGAAGACAAAAACAGTCTGCAGAATTAATGCCATATCTTATTACTCCTACCAGGTGGAATTACATTCCTTGTTTGAGATCCTAAAGTCCTTTTGAGATATCATCTATTAGTGCAGTGTCTCATGAAGACTATGTTGTTATCCCCTACCTCTTGAACAATTATGTTATGTGGTAGAATGTGATTTACATAATACCTGTATTTCATTTAAGGTGTCAAATTTCAGTTTAATTTTATTTTTTTACTTTATGTGTAGTTACTAAGAATAAAAACTTTTTTTTTTTTGTAAATTAAGAGCAGTGTTGTACTGAAGTTAGTAATGCATTTTGAAAAATGGTAAAGGCATTAAGGAATAGAAAGCTTGTGGAAAACTATTGTGATTTAGGCTCATGGGTACCCATGTGTCACTGGAAAATGGGACTTGAGTTTGCATATACTACACAGGTTGATTTTGATGTTTTTAAACTTTTTTAAACTTATTTAGGCAAGGAAGATAATTTGGCAGCTCTTTAAAAACTACCTAGATACAAAAAATTTCTTAAACTGGACAGGTTACATTCCATTGATTTCAATTTAGTGTCCACTTAAAGTGACAAGAGACAAAGTCTGCACCTGAGGCCCTGCAGTGAAGCAATTAAAGTAATCCCCTTGTAACCAGGGGCCGATGAAATATGTTCAGTAACAACATATGTAATAATCTCTAACTCTAATTAACTGTTAGATTTCTCATAGGCTACTTAAATATATGCCAGCTGTACAAAATTGATTTTTCTTTACAAAGTTTCATACACTTGTTTGGCAAAATGCAGTCAATTGACCTAAATTATTAATAGGTATCTTCCTTTGATATGCCCTTATAAAAGACAATACAGTGTCGCAAACTACAGTGTCATAAACTACAGTGACACAAAGCAAAAGTAAGGAACCATTTGTTCAATTAAATCACCATGAAAGGAAGACAAATATAGAGACTCGGTTACCTTCTGTGCAGTGATAAATAGAAAGTCATCACTTCGATTGTGGCTTTTGACATGAAACAAAGGATCTAAAGTCTATAGGACTTACTGAGCAGATACTTTACCCAGTGTCCCTAACCACCACATCCCCACTGTACCTGGATGAATCTGGAGGCAGTGCTAGAAGCAGAGCTATGACATGACAACGGGCTTCTGTTGTCTTGGGTGCAAAACTTTGCCTCATTTAAACAAAGGACATAAACCTTTGTAGGACGAAGCTTCCACAAAGTCAGTGAAAAGATTTTTTCATGAAGACTAAACCCAAGTGTCAGCATTTTGTGCACAGTAAGCAAAAGATGGAGAGGGTATTCAAGCCTGAAATATTCAATATCCACATTCTAATTAGTCATATTTGAAATAGATTGTGTTAACTACAGCGAACATTTCGTCCTGCTTTAAGGCTGCCTCACCTTAAACTTCTACTGCATAATTTAGGTGGGCAGAGAGATATTCAGCAGAACTGAGCATGCAGCAATTCTGTTAGTTTAGTGAAGTCCCTAAGGTACTCAGGAACTTTGAAAATCTAACAGTCATACAGATGTGGATTGAATATTCTAACTTACACCCACTTTTTTTATTGTTGTTTCTTGCTTACTTACTCCTAGACTTTCTGTGAGAAACTTAAATTTGTTCCCACAAAATGGTTACTGGCATGTATATAGTGAAATGTGAATGCACAAATTCTCTTTAATCCACTCATATTTCTGATCTGCTTGCAAAGTGTTTTTTCTGTATGCATATGAACATTTTTCACATGATATTACTTCCATGCACATATTTGGTTGTCATACTTTAGACCTGACTTGAAAACTGGCCTTTGGGAGGTCCTCTTGCTCATCTCTCTATAATCTACAGCATATTTTCAATCTCTTTATTTTAAAGGGCATTTTTTGTAGTTAAATAGACATTTTAAAGTAATTATATCTTGGTAGGATCCCACACTGACAATACACACTTACTTTTGATTCTGTTGTGATCAAGGTGAAGGTGCTCGAGATGAGCATTGATCGGTGGAATTTTAGTGAGCTGGTTGTGAGACAGCTGTAGATCTAGAATAGATGAAACATTAAACCCATTTGGGGGAATACCATCATCGGATAATTTATTGTAGTTCAGCCTAAGGAAAGTCACTTTGGGTATTGCACTGAAGTAGTTTTCTGGTATCACTTCAATGGAGTTGTTGTCCAAAAAAAGCTGCAGTGTGTTAGCTGGAATGCTTAAAGGCATTTTCTTGAGCGAATTTTTTGCTATGTTGAGTTGCATAAGATTGTTGAGCCCCTGGAAGGTGTTGCTTTGAAGAGCGCTGTCCAACAGACTGTTCTGGTGCAGATCTAACATAGTAAGGTTTTCCAAGTTGCTGAAGACTCCTTCTGGGATTCTGGAGATCTTATTTCTAGCCAGTCTCAGCTGTTCCAGTCCCACTGGTAATGGGGCAGGCACCTCTTCCAATTCATTATCTTCAAGGAATAAGTAAAGCAGCTTTTTCAGCTTGCTCAGCACACCACTCTCAATGCCACTGTTGGTGATCTTATTCTTGTTCAGATTTATCCATCTCAGATGAGTGGCATTCACAAAAGGCTTCTCTGAAACTGTTTCAATTAGATTGTTCTGAAGATAGAGGTACCAAATTCTTGCTGGGATTGCAGGTATTTCTTTAAGTCCTTTGTTATCACAGTATAATGCATTGGGGAAACTAGGAGGACAAAAGCACTCTCGTGGACACTCAAAAGTGTAGTGAGACCAATGCTCAGGATCCAGTTCATCATAAACTTGTCTCACAGTTCGAGTCCACACACAATTGACCAAGAATAAGAGCAAAAGGCTTGTATAGACTTTTAGAGTCATTGTTTGCCTTGGAAGGGGAGAAAAACAATTAGCTGTCTCTCAACAGAACTCTCTAACAGCATATTAGATTAACAAAGCAGTATTACATAGAAAATAACATTTCCTTTATAAAGCCAAATTCTGTCCTCTGTGGTATTACCTATGACATGTTTAGGAGAAATTGAACAGTAACATAAGAAGCCTAAACAATTCAGTGCTATATGTTGAAGAACTTTTTCCTGATTCAACTTAGACTCCACATTGGCTACCAGTTTAACTGATGTTCATGCAAGCGTCATACCTAAGAAACTGAAAACACAGATCATTTTTTCTGACATTCTATCAGTGCTTCTTATAAATTAGTTTAAGTTTTCCTGTACAGAGCTATAAACTACTTTATATAATGTACCATCTTCAGTAAAACTATCAATACCATGATGATATAAATTCTATTGTACCTAGTGTTCCTCTTTTTAAAATTAATCATACTCTTTTTTCTGTTTTTCCTCTCTCTTAAATTATAATGGCATCTGGATCAGATTTTCCAGGGTCTTTTCTCCTCACAGAGAAGTGAAAGATCAAAGAGTGTTTTAACAGCTGTTTGTTGGGCATGTTCTTAAAAAGCTTGGAGGGAATATGTTTGAGTAATCCATTCCCCTCCCACATTCACTCTCACATATCAAAAATTATGAATTTCCCTCTCTAAAGCAAAGAGCCAAAACAAATGCCTGATCTAAATGACACAAAAAGTAAGTCCTCAACAAATTATATCATATACACTCATGCATCTTGTATCTATTTTACCTACTTATTTGCTTTGTTTAACTTCTTCCACCATTAAACAATGAACAAAATCATCAATGATAATCTACTCCAAAAGGAAATATTTGTGTAGCACAGAAACACTGTTTCACAAACTCTGCTGTCTTGCTTGCTTTCTGATGAAGATTAGCGAGCATTTTGCAATGCAGAGGCAAGAGACTGATAGTTGAACTTTCTGGTCAAAATTAGGAGGTTAGTTTTGGCAAAAATCGTATTTAAATAAAAAGAAAATTCTCTCATATGGTTAATGCACCAGTAAGGTTAAGTGCTCTATTAAGTTGCTGCATATGCTATGTAGTCATTTCATAGTTATCAACATTGTTATTAGCAGTAACAAGTGCAGTATCCTACAGATCTTCCAGCCTGAGAAACTGCTATCTGGAAGCATTCCAAAAAAGGACAAATAAAATATTTCTAAAGAATAACATCTCTAATTTACACAGTGAAATGGCACCTCCTCACTGTGCAAATATTCATAACCTTAATAACGTTTTTAAAAAGAAATATAAAGTCATTTACCTTGTTAGTCAAGTTCCTGGAGCTATCTGAAGCCAGTTAGAAATCACTGTAAATTCACAGCCTTTGGTTGCTAACCACTGTGTTTGCTTCCTGTCCTCCCAAGAATTAATAGCACATAAAACTTGAAGTACACGCTAGTATTCCCAGATGTATTACCATACACACCTTATTAGCTATTGTTTCTAATTTGACATTGCTTCAGAGCTTGGGCTTACCTCAGCTTTCTTGGATCTTCTTCTCTTTCTATTGGTCACTGTTGTTAGACTGTAATAGCTTGAGTCAGGCTACAAGCCGTGTTCTATGAATACAGCCTAATATATACGCATCAGTGGCTACAGCTTTTAACCCCTAAAATAACTAAGGCACCTCAGCACCTAGGCAGAAAAAGACAGGAAATCCTGACTTTCATATCAAGCAGCCACACCGCTGAAGACATTGGATTTTTACTTTTTAGCAGATGAGAGGGACTGGTCTAGATAAAACAGGTAACACAAAATGTACCTTTATTGAAAATTTTTGTCGGAAGATACTTTACACGCAAACCTCGCTTACATCATAATTCATTCTCATAATACCTGAGCTGGCCACAAAGAATTAAAAACAGTGCCATCTGTTTCTCCGGAAATAGTTTATTTGATTTTTATCAAATGCAGATGCTGCCATGCTATTTAAAGGCATAATTCTTGATTAGGAGAAGAAGATAGAAAAAGCATTTGCTAAGAATTTTTTAATAACATATTTTCATTTCTTTAAAGATTAAACCATACCTCTTCCTTTTTGTTCAGAGAGATATTTACATATATTTCTACAAAGCTATCATACTCTCCAGTGCCTCCTGCAGTGAAGTCTGTTTTTAATTATCAAGGCACCAATTAATTATCTTGTTTTATCACTGATCTAAAGAAAACTCTTTCCAGACAACTCGCTATGCAAGACATAGACACATATTTCTCACATTAAGTATTTTGGAGGATTTTTGTTTTCTTTTTCAGTCCAAACTTAAAGTAACAACTTAATACCAGGAAAACTAGCCACGTTCAAAGCCAGAACAATGGCACAAGTATTTTAAGGAAAATGTTAATGAAAAATGCTGAAAATATAAAATATATCCTGGTACCTTTTATGAGTTTTAAAATTCATTTATACAATTATTTTAATTGAGCTTCATCTAATTTATTTTGACAATAAAAACTCTTACAACTTATTTCATATGTTTAATACTTTGCTTCCTAAACTAAGAATGTCTCAAAAGAAGTTTAGAAGTAGAGTAGACAAAAAGATAAGTAATCAAAAAAAGGAAAGCAATCCTTTAGTACATGGGCAGCTTCCACTGACTTCAGCAAGGTTAATGTTAAATAAATGTCATAAATTTTTTTTCAGAAGTATATCTTTGTACCACCTTGTTTTTTGTTTAGGAAAAAATACATCCTTACTACCAGTAATTTTACATGGCTTAAGTATGTACTTAGAAATAAATCAAGTGCTTAAGTGTTTCACTCTGCTAGAACTCCAGACAATTCAACAACTCCTAGCGATTATGAGGACTTGCTTATTAAGCCAGGTATAAAAGTGATTCCTTCATGCATACTAAGCTGAATATTTCAAAAGTTTAAACTAGATGAAATTAATTTACATTTACACCTACAAATACAGGTTCTAGCTTTAAGCAGATGTACTAATTATAAGCACAAAAATTAGATGTAATGTATTAACCTTCTCATTATGAGTGTCACTTTGGACATCTAGGCCTTAAAACATTTCCTTTGACCTCCCCCAGCAGACATGGTACCACACATTAATGAGGAGGAGGTTTGTCAGCTGGAGTCCACGGAAGAGAGGTGGGGAGAGGCAGAGGCACCGCTCTATGATGGTTAAGACAGTTGTGTGTTCAGTTGTGAGTGATTTACGGAGGCTTCACCGTGAAAAGCGCGTCTATGATTCTTGTAAAAGCCAGGCAGTGAAACGTAAAACTGGTTTGCATTTGTGCCAAATCTTCACAGGGTGTGTGGAGAGGATATGGAGGCACTGAGGTCTGTTCGCCATTAAAGAACGAGCTAAGACCTTCATGAGTGTTATACTCAAGGGCTTAAAATGGTGGGTTCTGGTGGCAGATTTCTGTTGTGACACACTTAAATGCGAGTTGCCAGATGTTGCACATTTAACAAAAAAGGAAAGATTGATTTAACTTATGCTTCATGGGGGTCTGAATTTTCCCTTTAACCTGCTAATCATGTACAGATGTTCATTATGTTATCACAGAAGTCACTGGCAGAGGGACTTGCTGGCTACCTTCTTACAGGCAGTGGGTCTATTTGTATGAATTACTGTTCAGCAAGGGAGAGGCACATCACAGTCTGCCCTTTGTGGGTTTGGAGGTCAGGTATTTGATATTTTTCAAATACATACACTGCCATGACATTCAAAGAAACAGTTCTTCACTAGGAGAAGAAAACAGCAAAAACAGTTGCTAAGACTTTCTGAATAACATGATTTTTCATTTCTTCTAATGCAAACGAAGAGCAGAAAAAAATGACAAGACACGTCCTCAAAATCAGGAAGAACGAGTGTGATGACTGTAATATGTATTCTCACATGCACTCAAAAATTTTGGGGAGATCTCTGCAGGAACAAGTGTCTGCTTGGGTGCCCAAGCAGACTCTGCAGAAAGACCTGCTTTCCATGAAACCTTCAAGTTTACACACATATTCTCAGTCATGCATTTGTTTTGTTCAGTCCTCCATCATCTGATGTCACTATTTATTATTTAAAGGGTGCAATATATGGTGATAAATTTTTACAGGCTAATAAAAGACAACTGCCAAGATTTTTAAAAATGACTAATGGTTTGGGAGGCTTTTTGTTTTGAGTATCCAACCTGAGACACTTTCTAGGGCCTCATATTCAGTAAGAGGGGGCTAAGAATTTTGTGTTAATGAAGTAATTTTTAACTTGTGAAGTTGAGCAATCAAAGGCAAATATCAGTGAAACACAAACTGCTCCTGAGATCATGAACAGTCTCCCAAAAAGTAACCTCATGCAAGGTATTTGCCTGACAATAAAAGGAAGTGTAAAAAATATTACAATAAAAATACTGTGCGTGCCCACTCTGTGAATTTTTGAGACCTTTTAAAAGATACTGTTGGGACTAGTCTAGTCTGAGGAAGAAGGCTCAAGCTATTACAGGATGTTTGCTCCATATGTCTCCTGGCAATCCACATTGTTAATCAATGTAATAAGAGAATCTATAAATTAAAAAATCAAAAAGTGAGGAGCACCATCAACCGCAGAGGGTGGTAATGTCTCCTTGAGCAGAGTGATGTGTATGCTTGAGACTAGAACAGCCCACAAGCTGGAGAAAGTCTAGAATGGCTAAAAAGATAGACTAGAAAGACCCATTGGGAGGAGATACGGACAACTGGGAGTGCTGTAAGAGCTGTTGTTCTTTTTCAGCATCAAAGTTGCTGACAGTGAAAAAATGCATTGCTTTCCTTCAGTAATGGCTGCCATATGTCTCAGATTTAATATGAATCAAGGTCTGTTAAACATCAAGCATGTGTATAGTTCACCACCAGCAAACCCAGGAGCATACTGCAAACAGCTAATTCACTGGCCATGTGGATTTCTCCATTTAGCAAAGGCTGCAATCCGATGCGCCTAATTTGTGTACTACTTTATTAAATGCTAGGTGTCTTGCTCAAAGGACGATCAGTTTATCTGAAATGTGCTCTTAAATTCCCTTCATGATGACTAGAGAAAAGGTGATGCTTCAAAACCTGAAGAAGAGACTGAGTCCAGTTTATGTGCCCTTCACCATATGCTCTGGTAGCTCCAGACAGCCATGCAGACCACTTATAGGCAGGTGTTTACATTTACTCAGGGTTCAGTCTGCCTGTTTCACTTCTGAAAATCAGCATGTAGTGGTGATCTCTCTCTTTTTTTGCATTGCTGCTTGAAATAGAGAGTAGGAAGCTCTGAGTTTTACTCAGAAAGGCAAAACTTCTATTTCCAAACAGTTCCCCGATCATCAGACAGTGATATATCCCAATTAGTAATAACTTCTACTCCTTTTAAAAAGGAGCTACAAAGGGTCGGCAAGACCAAAGAGTCTAAAATAAAGCAGATGAGTGAGCCCTTCAGGCCAGCCCAAGGGACAAGGCAGACAGATCAAAGGGGCCAGCACAGATGTTCCAGACCCTGCTCCTAGGGACACGTTTTACTCTACATCATTCCTGGTGAAAAAACAAAAACAAAACAGACGTAGGAGCAGGAGCTCTGCACCTCTCCTAGAAGCCTGCCTAGACCTCTCAGTGGGAGAAACTGCATCTCCCATTTAAATAGACATTTCCATGCATATGCAGGCAGCTAAAGCATAGGGAGTTTACCTGAGGAGCTTTCAGGTTAGATTAAGAGATGTTGTTTAAAGCAACGCTGGAAAATAGTTGGGCTGGCTTAAGTTGTGAAATGTAAATGTCACATGACCCCTTGTTTATATAGGATTTAGGAAAATTAGATCCTATTCTAAAACTCCAGAAACAATTCTAGTAGTTTACTTTCTGCACACCTTCACTCCCTTGTGAAAACCACAGTGAGAACTGAGTAGCTCAACTTAAAGACATCCTTGCAGAGCAACACGTTTCAGAACTGAGTAACTATGGAAAAGGGCTCAGTTTTTATGGGAAATATAGTGCTCTCCTGAATATGCTTCATTAAGGATTTTTTTGGCTGTCTGTTCCCTTTCTCTCTCTATTTTGAGCTCTTTACCACAGTGACACCATAAAGGTTCCGTGACACAATGCCAAGATCTGGTATTTATCTTGGCTAGTGAGGTTTAGTTTACCTACTATGTAAATGTGGCTGTCAATCTCTTACCTTAATTTGTTTTCATGCTTTTAACAATTTCAACACTGAAATAAATCTATCCTACCCATATTTTTAAAATGCTAGATGTACAACCATATGTGGCAAATGTATCTTAGATATCTAACATGCATTTATCAATTACACACATACACTGAGTTCATGGGACTGCATGTAGCTATTTAGATGATTAATATTTTCCAGGCAACTAATGGTAAATTAAAACATAAATAAGTCATCTGATGTGTATTCTGTAAATCTGCAGTTTTGAAAAATAAACCATCATGCATTAAATAATCTAAGATAGCATAAAGACAGTGCAAACAGACGTTGCGGTGTTAGTGTTACTTTTGTTCTCTTATTTTGTTCTGTGGTTAAAGAAGTCAAACAATATTCAAACTAATCTTCATTTTAGATT